ATCTATCTATCTATCTATCTATCTATCTATCTATCTATCTATCTATCTATCTATCTAAATAACAAAAACGACCAAAAAAACCCCACTTTTTGTGCAGTATGCATTAACAATGCCATGTCATGAAAAAGAAAAGATGAAAGTTTACATAGAGAACAAATTAGCACCTCAGGGAAATTGTTGAAAAATCAGCTGTGAGCCGGACTCGAGCTCACGACCTCCACCTCGGGGCTTTGCCCCGGGATGAGGGGGTGCCAGCTCAACATGGTGAGCTACTGCGGCACCCCAAGGTCAAAGGGTTAACATACAAATAAAATACTAAATAAAATCTAAAAAAATTAAAAATAAAATGACATTATATAGAGTATAAAGTTCAATGTCACTTAAATGTCAAATAATTCAAGATTGTATCATCTCTCAATATTGGCATCACTTCTCAGCTGTGATTACTGACACAGTAGGGAGTGTACTTCTTCAAAGATGGGACTTTTCATGGTGACGTTATCGTTTTCTCTCTCATTTCAGCTCACCCATAATCAGCATCTATTTGATCTACCTGTCCAACGTGGCAGATTTACGATGATCAATGATGAGAAATAACTGAGTACATTTCAGACTTTTGTTTCTTATAGTTCCTGAGATATTGTCACAAAACTTGTCCTTGAAAAAAAACCCTGCTGAATGTGGGTTGGACGAAAGAAAAATCTCAGAAAATACTGGATATATCAATCTAAAATTCAATCTAAAATTTCGTAGATACCATTTTAAGTATCTATTGTGTATGATTTTTTTTAAAAGCAAAATTACAGTTGGCCCAGTAGAAGGCCCCTGATAATTTGAGACAGAATAACTCAGTTATTTGTTACCAACACCATTGACCGTATAAATAAGTACTTTTAGCATCAAATTCAGTACTTCTCAGCTATGTTAAGGGTCATTAGATGATTACTGGGGCAGGAGATAAGAAATTACTATTTGTTGTGCCCTAGTTTCTCTGATCTCTGCATCTTCTTGGTGCTCAAACAGGTATTTAAACTATCTAAAAATGACTTTTAACAATGCATCGGGCTTCTCGAAGCTTATCACGTGCTTAAACATAAAATGTTTATTTCTAAATTAGCCGGTGACTCCGGCTCTCAGACACATGGCAGGGAGCACTTTGTTCTCAAGTCTCGTCGAGCAGAAGTATCAAGTAACATAAAATGCAATTACTCAGGAACAGTGGCTCCGAATCATACTTAAGTGCAATATGAGTAAAGTTACTTAGACTTTCATCAGTGTCATCATTTGTGATCAGTGCAGTGAGGTTGAAAATGGGGGATGAGAGCATATTTACATAAGCTCAGCAGTCAGGAATAAATTGAGTACCCTTCTGTCAATTTGCAAACGGAGAAGAAGAGCTTCATAGATTTATCAGCAAACCCTCTTTGTGCTTTAAACCTCAACAATAAATGACTCATAAGATACATTTTTGGTTAAGTTTAGGTTTGAGGATAATTATAAATTCAAAAACTTTTCGCTGAAGTTAAAACCCCACAATGCACGATTAAACTCACACTTGTTCAGGTAATTTAAAGCCAAAATAAACCTAAAATCACTAAAAATCTAAATTTGGCTTAACTGTAGAAATTCTCTGTGGTACGGCCAGTTTTACAACAAGGACAAAGCTGATAAAACAAGACTGCAAACTGTCATCAATTCAACACATTAGAAACCAGTAACTGACACATTTTAATACAAAAAAAACACAATACCAGAATATCTCTTTCAAAAACAGATCAAAGTGTACGTATTACAGAGACGTGCTCAGGTCAGGAGGTTTTTTTTTTTTTGCTTTTCCGACGAGGTGATGCATTGTGACACATCTCACTGTAAAGCAGACACGGATTTAAACTGTCCTCTGAAGTCACTACAGCACTAGCATCATGCTGATGTCAACAGTAAGCTGACACCGAAGCTGATGTCAGCTAATCATCAGAAAACCTCATCCACTGCAAAACGCCTGCTGACACCAGGCAGTTAACCTCTGTTTGTAGTTCAGCTGCCTGAAACGTCCATGATGTCAAAGCCTTTCAAGTGTACGAGACTAAGGTTACCATGTAAAAGCAGTTCTGGCACTGAGACAAGAAACTTTTTTGCGCCAAGTCATTCTTAGCATTCAGAGAGGCAGATGATGTTGCATTTTTGGGAAAGAATCCGAAGCACTCCCCATCTCAAGCTGTTCCTCCCGTTAGTGCTGTAGGACGTTTCACTGCAGTGTTCAGATCTTCAGAGAGTGAGGAAAGTGGAGGTCACTGAAGTCTTGCTCTCTTCTCAGGAGGAGGTTTGCTGGGTGGAGCTGGGGCGGAGGACTTTGCGGCCGGTTCCCTCTCCTCCTGTTTTACTGTTTCTGTGGGAGGCTCAGGCTCCTTCTTCACCTCAACTGCAAAACAAGAGCATACAGTTGGAAAAAAACTCCAGGATTTGGCTGTCTATCTCCACCTAATCCACATTTGAGTGTCAATTACCTTAAAATGTAACCCTCTGACCCCCAAAACCTGTCATTAGGTGTGAAAGGCATGTTTGTCTTTACAAAATTGCATCATTAACCAGACCCAGAGTGTACAAACAATCAGTTGTAGGGTTTTGAACTTTTCCGACATTCCAGCTACTTATCTGTGACGTGGTGTTTGATCAGAAAACGTTACTAAATTTAAACTTAAATTTGCGATAATCAATCAAAATCATTTTATTTTACATGTCTTATTTAAAAATCAGCCAACAAATATTGTTTCCATTACCCAGATGCTGCAAAAACCTGAGGCCATTAGTAACTCAGCAGCGACCAACTATCACGAGTCAAAAATTCAGAGGCTTTTCAACTGAACTGCAGGCTGTGTTTACTCAGAGCAGAGAAAACATAAATATGGAAACAAAGTAAAAATGTAACTATTAAATATCTATTAAGTATCATTAACACATGTGGGCACTTGGAAAAATGTTGTCCATGTTGATTCTTGTTTTTTTCCCCCATTTTTGTAGAAAAAAAACATTCAAAGAAAAACTTTCTTTTTGTTTGATGATTTGTGACATGGGAACTTTGTTCGAGTGAACAGTTATACCAGCCATGAATGCGCTACTTCCATAGAGATGCAGGACTTCATATTCAAAAATGATTTAGGGTCGTGTGTTGACAGACGACAACGACTGCGTAACCTTCACTATATAATGCAACTGTTTAAAGGTCTTACCTGGAATAGGCTTCTCACCAGGTTTAGGCTGAAAGTGCAGAAAGAAAAACTGAACATCAGAGAAGGCTCATCAACTAATGAGAAGGGTCAGAAGACTTCATAATAATGATGGTTGATGGTGTAGCATCAGTCTGTGATGTACCTGGTAGAAGGTTGGTGGAAATTTTGATCTGAGGTCCAAAAGAAGTGTGTCAACACGATGCCTCTGAAACAGAGAGCTGGGCTCTTCTTTCTTCTTAGACTTGGGCTTTACTTTTTCTGTAAAAAAAGTTTCTTTAGTTGTCATCTTAAACCACAACATCATAATATAAACAATGCAATTACACTGTACGTTGGCTCTGGGACTTGTAGACTTCACCATTTGTTGCTCTTAATATTTTATATTCTTGTTGTAAGAACAACATCACTGCTCATAAGAATATTGCCTAAATGTGTACACCGTGAACATATATACATTTAGAAAAACCTCACCTCTCTCCTCATGGTCCTTAAAGTGCCACCAGTATCCCTTGGATGGGTGATAGCGGCAGTATGACATGGCCTCATCAAAAGCTGACTGGATTCCATGGACGGCAGAAAGCTACAACAGATGATTGATATGAGTAACAGGACATTCTCACGCACAAAAACTTCTCTTTAACAGCGTTTACAATAATTTTTTTACCGCTCTGGAGCTGATAACTGTTCCCAGGTCTGGGGCTTGATACACCACTCCGGCTATGATGTAGTAGTCGGCCAAGGGAATCACTAGAGAACAAACACAGGTGTAGTGATTCAAATGAGGCCTTTACTGAAGGGCTTTGCATCTGCAAATATTGATGTTTTTACTGACAGTCCTGACTGAGGAATGACAAATCCAATTAATGGCATTTGAATAAATATATCAGCTACATACTTGTACATTTGGAGAGTTGTGTCACTAATTATTGTATTCATGCAGCTTTGCAATAAGAAGGAGGACCCGAGTGGTCAGCCACATAACAGATAATCCAGTTGATACGGTGACTTTTTTAATAATATCCATGTAGAGCACACTGACATCCATAAGCAGAATTGCAACTACTTATGAAATCAAACCTAAGATATCTTACATGATGTTCACTGACTAACCAGCTTGGTACCATTAAATTCTTGACTAAAAATCAGATCTGATGTGTTGCTGCTCACCTTGCGTTGTTGACTGCCTCTGTTGTTTACGGATTATATAAAGAATTGGCTCCTGAGCATGAAGAAGAATGTACTCCACTCCCACCATCTGACTGAAATAACACAGAAAAACAATATAAGTTATGAAGCTGGGTAGTAAAAATATAGTACAGTCTTCCAAACTACAATTTATGTAGATAATAAACTCATATATCTGTGTGTGTTATTTGGTTTTGTTTGGGTAAAGCTTTGCATGCTAAGAATGTTTTTTTAAAGCTAAGACTATTCTGAGTTTAACGTAACATTTCAATGATATGCAACAATCTTCTAAATAACATCAAACTTACTTCAGATGCTCCAGAGTGAGCCGCTGCATCTTCACTACCTCATTATTACAGGTTCGGTCATAGAAGGGGTTGCTTCTTTCAGAGAAGTAGTCCAGCACATTTCCAGGGTTAAGAATTGGCACCCAGCCGCTGTCCACCCAGGATATCCCCAGAAGGTTATCTGCAAATTGAACGACAAGTCAACATATTTAATGACAGCATGTGCATGAACTGATAAGTTGCACTGAGAAATGGCAAATTGGAATGCATTTACATGTTAGGGTTCACAGTGACTTCAGGATTTTACTGAACACTTGTACAGCATATAGAGACTATACTACTGAGCTGCAGAATATAAAGCATGATATAGGCCTGTTTCAATCAGGACTTTGCCATCAGGGCTGTAAGACACAAGTACCTCAGAATAGCAAAAGTTCCTCACTGTATTTTAGAGCTGCAAAGGTTAATTGATTAGTTGTCAACTATTTAATTAATTTCTGTGTCTCTAGGTTTTACTTATTTCTTTATTTAATGTGTATCAGGGTGAAAGGATCCCTAGTTCTTATACACAGTTGTTTATTTTTGTGTGTTTTACTCTGCTGCACCAAAAATAAATGTTTTACAGATGTACATGAATAAATGGTTTGCTAAAGTGGCAAATTTTTTTTGAAACTGTCGTTAAAATCATCAACATCATGTAAAATTCCACATTTTATGTGCTACATTTTTCAGTCATATCAACCAGTGCCAGTGGACAAAACAGAACATTTGAGAAAGGGGGTTTTGGGAGACATTGATCAGCACTTGTCCTGGTTTTCTGACATTTTATGGGGCAAACAACCAATCCATTAATCGATTGTCAACAGATAACTACCACTGGAAATAATCGTTAGTTGCAGCAATACTATATTTAGACTATTACTTAAGCCAGTTTTCACATAATTGGGCATTGGGTTTTTTGTAAGTTTTTTTTGTTTTGTTTGGTGATGTGAACGTATCTCAGTGTAAACTAGTATTGGGTCCTATATAAATAATGCCTGTTTCAAATGTTGGTGCGGTTATTACAGGATTGATGGACTGAGTGCATTTCCGATCATCAGTTAATGCCATTTCCGCAGTAATCCTGCCCAAAATATGCCCGTGCAGAGGAAGGAAGTTACTATTTTCCTCCGTAACTAACACAGAAGGAACTGAAAGCGAACATAACTTGACTGAACTTGACGTTTTTTTAACGCCATTTAAATCCCCCTTTACCAACAGGTACCATAAGTTTAGACGACTTGTAATTCATTGCTGTATACGTGATATGCTAAAACAAATTAAACGTTGATGCGGCTAGCCAGCGCTAGCGTAGTTAGCGGCAATGCTAATTGTTGCTAACGTCAGCTGGTAGCGCTAACAAACATGTATGGAACCTGCCAACAGGAAGTCTTCACAGTATTTAAAATATGTAACACAAAAATTTTGTGACTTGTTAAATACCCCCACTACTAAAATATGCTTTAAATGACGTTTCAGAAGATGAAAAAAACGGAATTTATCTACCTCTGAAATCCACCGACGCCATGATATAAACAATTGGTCTCACAAAGATGACGTCTGCGCTCGCTTTCGGGTCGCAGCTTGATGGCGTCGTCGTCGTAACCCTCCTAATTAGTTGGATTGGCATAAAATGCAGGAATAAAGCAGAATAATGCATTTTAATAAGAGGAGAAAAACAAACAGCGATGTAATCTGATGATCTCATTGTTTTATATTCATTTTCCAGTTGTGTTCGTATTATTGTAGCTAATTTGGCAAATGTCTCATTTTATACAAGGAATGTCTTTTGTGCGCACTTCTTGGCAGCGGCATCAGTTTACGCATTATGCAACCAGTCAGCGTCCACAGTGGTCTTTATTTGTGATCAGCAACATTTGTTCCAGAGAGTTGAGATTCCAGAGACACACCCAGACAGCTGAGCTCACCGCCCCGTGAGGGTGACAAGACGGAACAACGTGACACCCGCTCCGTGGATCTGCTGATGAAACGTCCAGTCAAAACCAGAAGCGAAAAAAAAAAAGAAAAGAAAAACAAGGGAACGACCTTAATCATCATTTGCTTCATAACAGCATTACCCCGCATAAACCCGGGGCTGGCTGACATCAGAGGCTGTCATTAGGGACTGCAGTCTGTCAGGAGTGTGCTGGGGCGAGAGGAGGCAGGCTGGATGATCTCTATCTGATTCATCTGAGCAGAGATGACTGCATTCCTCCAGGCTGAGATAAGACTCACTGAAAGGAATATTTAAGGAAAGATGGGGGTCGATAGTAACCGCTTAGTGGAGGATATTCAGTTTAAGCAGGATGAGATTTTGCAGCCTCCAGTTGAACTTGCAAGTCACGATTAATAGTTCCTGAATATTTTTACTACTCAGATGAAGGTACATAGTAATTATATTGTATTCTCTTAAGCTTCATATTTCATTTAATATTATATATTTAAATGTATAGATTTCTACTCATAATATTTAAACTACTGGGGCAAATTACCAAAATTCATAGTTTATGGTGCCTTAGTATTGAAATTATTCAGGTGAATTTATATAATTAATAATTGTGTGGGCTCCGGTAAATGAAATTAAATCCCTCAGGTAAATTTGTATAATCCATTTTCTATGGTTTTAACCCTAACATATAATTTAGTGTAAATCTGTGTCATATTTAATTTCATAGGGATGGAGTCTTAACCATATAATTAAAACTACTCAGGTAAATTTACATAATATAATAATATTGTACACTTTTAACCTTCATATTTAAAACTAGTCTGGTGAATTAGCATAATTATTCATATTGCAGGACCTTCACATTAATATGTAAATTATTTCTGTATACTTGTATTACATATAATTTTTACCCTAAAATTTCAGTTACTCAGGTATATTTACATCACTGATGATAATGTAGGCTCTTGACCCAACTTGCTCTGGTAAATTTACAAAAAACATAAAAATGTTGGGTCTTAATCATAACAGACAGATTTGTATGATGAATAACTGGTTGGTTTTTATCACGAAATTAGTCAAGAACGTTTTCAGAATTAATTCTACTGTATGGTGGTCAGCTTAATATTTAATTTAGTTAAATAAAACTGGAAGGTATATACATTTATAGGGTTTCAGCCTTAATATATAAATCACTCAGGTACATAAATAATAATTTGTAGGCTCCTAACTTCAATATTTAAATAATTCAGTTAAATTTACATAATTTCTGATGTTGTGCTCTTGAACCTCACATTTAAATTATACAGGCACATTTACATAATAGAAATATTGTAGGCCTTTAATATTTAGTAGAAATTAAGTAAATTTGTATTTCGCATAAGTTTGTTGTAACCCTAAGATTTAAATCTGTCAAGGGAATGCAGATAATTTATAACACTGTGGGGTCTTAACCTAACATTTAAACTTGTTTGTTGTTTTACAGCCACTGCTTATAATCCATTTACTCATTATGTTTACTACCCAATTTCCTGTGCTATCCTACTTTATTGCTTCAGTACCATTACCAGCATTGGCTACTTCTTACTTTTCTATTCTAGTTTGATTTTACTTTACTTATTTTATACCAAATGAGGCTACACTTTATAACCACTGCTTTTGGCTTTTAACTCTCCAGCTATTGTCATTTTTCTGAGCAAATATTTGGCACACAATTGACCTAATGTGGTTGAGTGTATTTATCATAAAATAATGCATTATGTCACTTTAGATTATATCACAGAATAAGCTGAGGTCTACTGACGCAGGCGCTTATGACAAATACAAGTAACTCGAGAATCAAGTGCATGACTGCGATGTTTCTTTCATCCAGTCCAGTTTCCAAACAGCCTGATAATGAAATCATCTCCCGATCGACTGATGATGAGATCAAACCCTCTCTTCCTGCTGGGGGACCCCCATGGGACCGTCGCTCCTGCATTTATCGACCAATCGGCGCGTCTGAGGGGAAAAACACGCGAACGGGCAACTGACGGAGCAGCGCGCATCGCATCGCGCAGGGTTTTTGCGCACAGAGGAGACGTAGCTGCGACACTGGCGAGGAGAAGACGCGACCACGGCGGCCGAGAGGATGCAGTGAAAAGGTTTCCCAGCTGATTCAGAGCCAGGCGAGAGGGCAGCTAGAATTAAAAAAAAAAAGAAAAAAAAGAAAAACGTCGAAAATGAGCGTGATCCAGGCTGGGCACGACAGCAGGGCGGACGGCGGCAGAGGCAGCTTCACCGACAGCGGCGGCGGCTCCCCGAGGCTCCAGCAGTGCGCTCAGCCTCCCAACAGCAGCAGCAGCAGCAGCCGGACCAAAGAGAGCAGATATCAGCAGCAGCAGCTCCAGCAGCAGCGGCATCATGGTGGGTCGATGCTCAAGCAACCGTCGCACAACGAGCCGGCCGACGTCGTGAGGCGGGCGCTGGACTTCAAGAGCCAGGGCACCCAGTGCTACAAGGATAAGAAGTACCGGGAGGCGATCGGCAAGTACCACCGCGCTCTGCTGGAAATCAAGGGGCTGTGCAGGGTGCTGGGGGACCCGGACACCAGCTCCAAGTCCCCGTCCTCCCTCCTGCCCACCATCAGCAAGTCCACCACGCTGACGGATGAGCAGAAGGGCGCGATGGAGAACGCAGAGCTGGAGTGTTACAACAGCCTGGCCGGTAAGATCTTATCTCACACTGATCCACACTTATGTTGGGGAAGATTGTGGGAATACTCCAGAGCTCATGAATGATTCATCGGCGGTATGAGTCACTCTCAGGCTTACCCCACAATCCCCCTCACTTTTTTCTGATTGTCACTTTATGTGGATTATCCACTGCCTGTCAAATGAATCAATATATTTGCTTATAATGAAGGATTTTGCATTGGCTCCTGCAGTGTAATCAACAGCTCCTTCTTCTCTTTCCCCACATTCCCAGCTTGCCTTTTGCAAATGGAGCTGGTCAACTACGAACGGGTGAAGGAATACTGCCTGAAAGTGCTTCACAAGGAAGGAAAGAACTTCAAAGCTCTGTACCGATCCGGAGTGGCCTATTACCACCTAGGAGACTTCCAGAAGGCCCTGTACTACCTGAAGGAGTCGCACAAACAGGAGCCGTCAGGTCAGAGCCGACTGCTCATTGCACTGAAACTCTACTGCTTATGGAAATCTGGCACAACTCTAAAAATCAGCAGCTCTGTGCATTTTGTATGAAGCAGATATCAGTCTTGACATGTATGTTGTCTGACATGTGCTGATCTGGAAACTACGGAACAAAATGTGTTTGTGGTGCCTTCATACAGTTTGTCCAGCAGCTTTGACTTTATAATGCTCTCAACACAACCTGCAGCACATGTAGCAGAGTGCTTATCACAGGTGGTGGTGCGGAGTCAAGTGGGGTCTAAAGATAGTCAGCTGATATATCAAAACTAGAATTTTTTACTCTCTAAGAACAACCCCCAAAAATCCAACGTAATATAACAAACCTCAAATATAACCTCGATTAGATGTGCAGCCTTTTGATTCAAAATAATCATTTAAAAGTAATGAAACATCATCATCTTCTCTCCTCAACATTACTCTAACATGAATATATGTATACGTAAAGAATGAATACCTGATTTGTTTTACTCTCTAAGAATCTGCATCAAAAATCGATCTGGTGTAACATGAAGGATCTCAAACAAAATTTAAATTAGAATGAATAAAATATTCCTTTAATAGTGATGAAAACCATAAGTAGCCTTCAGAATAATTCATACTTCGTAGCTAAACAGCTGCTGAGATATTTCAGCGTGGACCGAGCTAAGAATACAAAACACGAGCTGGTTCCTGTTCCTTGTTTTTCTATCTTTCATGTTATCATTTGAAGGCATCGTGTTGGGTTCAGGAACAAGTAGAGGCACAGTTTTTTTTAGCTAAATGCATTTCATGAACAAGGAATGCTGACACGCTGGCAGTGACACAAGAGAAGAGGCAGATACCAGATACACAGTCACAACATTAAAACCACCTACCTAAAGCTGTGTAGGTCCACGTTGTGCTGCCAAAGCAGCTCTGATCCATGGAGGCATGAACACAGAACCTCTGGTGGGTGTTCGGATCATTTGGGTTGTGCGGGGTCAGGCTTGATCTGGCGCATCTTGTAGATTGAACTGGAATGTGGGGAGTTTGGAGGTCAGGTTGAGATCTTTGTTGTGTAGATGTAACCGTCCACTACCGGAACTTGTGGGCTGGTGTAAGGCGACATGGATGTTCCAGTCACCAGAAGCGTCCCTGTAGAACCTCCTTTGGGGCCATTTTAGGAGGGGAAAGGGTGCCTATTTCTGGACAACTGCTTTCTGGACCTTAATGTTGTTTGGTTAAACTCAGAGAGGACAACGAGCGCCATCTTTTCTGCACTCTAACATAGCTGTAGCTGTTGGATTCTGCACCTGAATGCAAACAAAAAGCTTTTAATGGCCGATTAGTTTGTGCCACCTTGTACCTGCCATGTTTCAGTGGGCGGTACATGTAAGTAACATCCACATGAGTAACAATATCCAATGTTTCCCCAGCAGACCGTTGCACTGGAACAAGATGATGAGTGTTATCCTACCTGTGGGTGGTTT